CTGCGTCCATCTGCCAATAGCCTCTTACACTAACGACCCTGGCGGGAAAATTTATAACTTGTTGTCGGGATGTATGGATGGTGGTTTTTGAAAGTTTTAACATACAGTTGTTAATTATCTAAAACTGTATACACTGCTGAAAAAACTGTTTTTTCTCGATACATTCCAGTAAGAAAATACAGCTCGAATTGGAACCATAGGACGCAGTGTCATTGTCTATGAATAAATAGTTTTCAACAAATTTATATTGCGGACTGCAATACCTTCCAGACTGTGGGACTGTCTATCGCATAAGGATGCCTTAAGAGCATTGTGTTCGCAAAAAGCAGAAGACACTGGGTCAACTCGAGCGAGTGACCAGTAATACCTAACGTAAGGTCGTCGGATACATGACCTCACATGATCCACGAGGTCAATGCACGTGCCACCATGTGTGTTGAATAGAAGTGAACGCAGACATGGCCCGCATTTGCGTGAGCGCCAACCTTGAGTGCTGGTTCATGATTGTGTGCATCGCGCTCTGGATCAATTTGTACATTTTTCCTTTTATTTGAATTCAGATGAGCTGTGGGCAACATACGCGTGGTACGTTTTTAGGGGGGCGGAGAACATCCGGTTCATGGAGACAACACACGGCTTTTCCGGAACTACAACTCAGCCTAGCAGAGAGCGATAGGAGTGGCACACCAATGATAAAAAAGCTATCCAGAACACAATGGGCAGCATTCCTTGATGCCCTATGTCTATGGCATTTGTAGTACTCATATGCATACATGTATATACCTATATATATATACATCTATAGAAAATCAGTAACAGCTTGATGCTAAGGTCAGCAGTCACCATCATTTATGCAACTTCCAACATTTTCATACCTTGTGTGTCATCAAAAGAATAGCGTGAAGTATAATGAACTAAAAGGACATGTACCCGACATCCCTAAAAATGGCAAAGGTCACAGTTTCAGCAATTAAAAACAACCTCTCTGGGCACAAACACAGCAGCTTAAAGTATGCAAAAAATCAAGCAACTCAAAAATATTTTAGACTTAGTATGAAAAAGCCTACCTTTTAGTTTGCAGAAGACATGGCAGACCTCATCAATAATTAATGGTGGCTTGTTGTGGTGAATATGAAGTCATTCCTAAATGCTAAGATCGAAAGAATTGGTGCAACGCCAAAATATGGAAAATTGTTTAATGTGAAGTGAGTGTCACACACAGTGAATAGCATCGGATGGGCAAAGAATCTGGGATAGACAAATGTTGTCTGCATGCCAGATCTTCCCAAATGCTCCTGTGCTCTGCAGAGCGAGCTACGAGGGATCAGCCCACGCAAGATGCTCCACACGAAGGGACAATATTTTTTAGATGACTGCAGAGACGGGATATTTGGGGAGGCGTGCTATTTACTTCAGAAAGATCCGACATTGAAATAATTTACCAACATGATTTTTGGGAACAGGACAGCGTCAATGCCTTTAAAAGGTTTGTAAACTCCTTCTCATTTAGATCACCTGCTTGACCAAAAAAGCCACCCAACTATCTATTTAGCCTTAGGACTTCAGGAACAGCGGGAACTTTTACATACTTGCACGCAGGAAGCTTTTCGATTGTTAATTATTACGAATGGGGGAGCCGCTTTCCCTTAAATAATGATGTGAGCCAATAAAGCCAGGAATAAAAGAGGCTATTGTTAAAACTTAAACGGAAAAGCTCTTTAACTAGCTGTGTTTCACGCCATAGAGTTCAATATCGTCGGGAATGAATTACAAAAGATCAGTCAAAGACCAGTAAGCGTGGTCGTCTATGGACAGATGTTTGAAATTTGCCTTGTAACTTTCGAACTCGTACATACAGAAATGCAAAGAGCCAATCTCATTCTCATCCTCCTCCTCCATAAACGTTGTGGCAGAATGCTGGGATCAATGTGTTACCCGTACCCAGACAACAGAAAAGAGTCGTCAATATCTCGCTGATAGAATACGGGTCGGAAGTCAGGGGACAGTTTAGCAAGTACTTTTCGTGAAAGCACATCAAGATCTTGCCAAAAGTGATCCAAGAGGAAGTGCCATTCTCAAGGCCTCTTTCTGTTTACGCAGTTTGTCATTGCAAACCAATGAAGAGGTTGATGGCAGCGAGTTTCTAGGAGAGAGCGAAAACGGCATGCGGTAAAACTTATGAGCGTAGAGTAGGATACAGAGAAAACGCTCAAGCAAATGTCTATCGCTTCTGTCAGCGGGATATTTGTTTTGTTCAGCGTCAGAGCTGGCCATAGCCACGCGTTTCGAGAACTCGTGTTGCGAAGGTGTCTGTGCAAATTGAATAGAATCAGTCAGAGAGTATTCATTTTTGCTTCAAGCTGTAAGCAATGGTATCAGTCACTAGGATATTTCATTTGAGGGTGTACCACAAGAGGAAAAAAACGGTCTTAGAGGCGCAGAGAGTTTGTCGTCTTTTGGAAGACCATTTAGGGCCCCCAGAAGTACTCCCGCAAACATGAATCTACATGGAGCTGCATGCATGAGCTTGTTTTAATCCATTCCCAACGCCTTTATGGCGTGAAAACAGTTTAGTTACGGAGTATTTTCCGTTAGCTTCTCAATGTAAGCTCTTTTTCTTCAGGACTTGATCGGTTGAGGTCATTATTTTAGTGAAATGGCTTCTCACTTGCAATCATAAATAGTTCAATAAAACAACTTCGTGGGTGTGAACATGTAAAACCTCCGCTGTTCATGACGTCCTGAGACTTATGAAATAATGCATGTTGTCCTATTTCGGAAAAAGTCGATACAACTGAAAAGGAGCTTGCTCCTACAAAGCAGCAGCCTCCTACAAAGCTGTATTCTTGCTGTCTCTAATAACCCTATCAGAAAATTTTTCACTGTTAGATCGTTCTTCAAGTTAAACGATGACCTTCCAAAACATGTTTCCTCTGCAGTCATCTCAAATACTGTTGTGCCTCGTGCAGAGCATTTTACGTGGATTAAACCCTTTTACAACGGAGAGTCTACTACAGTTTCTATACTGCAGAGTACAGAAGCATGTGGGAATGGCTGACCGCTCAGGTGATATTCTTTCTGACCTCGGCCCTTCAACCATCTCAGGCAATTCACTTCTATGTGACACTTTAAGGGGGGTGATTCATACTTGCATGGATTTTGAACTGAAATAATCAGATTGAAGATCTTGCGGTGCAGCTCATGGCCATACCCCTTCTAAGACCTAAAATAATTTGGGTGCTAAGCTTAAAGACCCCGAAGATGTGAGAGAATGGCTGTGGGAGAGTATTTCAAGGGCACCATTGAATGTATGACGTTATAGCCACGTCATATAAATCCTGTCATTTCATCGTTCATGCGCCGATCACGGCTAAGAATGATAAAGTTGTCGAGTCGTTCATATATGACGTTCGTGAACACGATTTCCGGGCATAGCTGCCGTCAATGGGCTCTCAATCAATGTTGTGCAAAGTACGATTACGCAATCAAACAATGGCGTATTGAGAAGCATATTCACTAAAAAGAGCAAGCTGTGTTGTCTAGAGCAGTCTTTTCTACTGGAAAGTATACCAACAGTTATAAGTGAACTTTTGTCACCATATTCGGTGTTTGGTTCATTGTCTTCAAATGTGAAACAATTCCTACAACCCTTGGTTTATAGGGCGTTGCAGCAATTCTCTCGATCTTAGGATTTTAGAATCTTTACCATAAAACGCTGCCATTGAACAACATGGGTTCGCATGCTCCCTGTCCTCGGTCTATGACGTAGCCTTTTCCGTATGCATTTTAAAAGGTCTTGCACCGCATGATTTTTGTATGCTTCAAAATGTCCTGTTTGAGTGCAGAGATTCGCGCTCAGATTTCGTAACTGTGACCGTTGCCATGTCTGGCGAAATTGGTCAAATGCACTTATATTTAGTTTTATATTTAATCGAATTTCTGTATCCTTGTCCTGATGATCATACACAATTCATCGAAGCGTTGACAGTGACATAAATGATGCTGCTGTCCTTACGATCTCGTTCTTACTGTTGCGTGCTATCCAGGATCGTTCCATACATAAGATTACATATAGATGGACATATATATATATATATATATAATGCATATATAGCATATATATATATATATATATATATATATATATATATCCATGGAAAGATACACAGACGGACAAACAGACAGACAGTAGGACAGATAGACAGGCAGACAGACAGACAGACAGACAGACAGACAGACGAACGGACGAACGGACGGACGGCGGGCAGGCAAGCAGGCAGGCAGGCAGGCAGGCAGATACATAGATATATAGACACACAGATAGATAGATAAATATATAGATACATAGATAAATAGACAGATAGATAGAGATATAGATGGATAGTCTGGTACGTCTACGAACGTTCCAAAACTCAGCAAAAATAACTTCTAGCTTAACACAACTTGTAACACAAGGCGTTGACGGAGTACTACTCACACATTGATCTTGATGATGGGAGTGGCGGTGGGCTGCTTCACGCGCTGCGCGTACATCGGCGCCAAGTCTCCGTGCACCTCCACCCGGTACATGCCTTTCCGCCCGATCATGAAGTTGCGGTCGAATTCGCCGAAGCGCAGTTGCAGGATATTCTCGGAGCGCTTCGCTGTGTGGCGGAACGTGTAGCACAGGCCCTGCGGCGTCACGTGCACGTGCCACGTGCCGGATTCGGTGAGCACCGGCGCGTCGATGGTGGCGTCCAGGTGCGGCGTGCAGTTGCCCCACCGCATCTGGCAGTCGTCGATGACGGCCGTGAGCGGCATGGAGAGCTGGCTGTACCACTGATCTGGTGGGCCATCGGTCGCCGCGTCGAAGCCCGACCAGGGGAACGGGCCGCGGCCACGAAGCATCGACCTGGAGCGCGGGCCGTGTCGGGTGAGGCTGACTGCTGACTGAGGAGGTATGGGGTCATCGGGAGCACGACGGGGGCTGAGGTTGATGCTCGCCGTGCGGCGCGCCCACATGGGCATGTGTTTACGTCTCAGGTCAAGGATATATAGAGCACGTACTTCTGCACGGAGCGCATGCTTCTGCACATGCTTCTGCTCATGCTTCAAAACAAGCCTCTGGACGGTGTTTGCCCATTGCGGAGACCTGTGGTATTTGTTTCTGGAAGATACTTTAAAACAGCAATTTTGATTACAACAGCAACGCACTTTGAGTAATATGTTAATCATACACACGCCCGCATCAGGACAGACTGTCGAGAACTGCCCATGTGAAGCGCCGCACCGCTGCTCATACCATTCCTGGCTGCCAGTCACCATCTATTCTCGCGCCCTGATATCAAATTACTCGCCTTATGCATTGTCGTGCTCTCACACTCCTCACGTCTATGAAAAGCATCTGTTTTACCGGGCATGAAATGGTTTATAAGTTCATTTCATAACCATCAGAAATGAATGGCACTCATTCGGTTGAGCGTGCGTAAAGGGTTTAACCCAGAAGCAATTTCTTCAGGGAGTGTTCTGTGTGCTTTGAGGGTTGGAGGTGGAGGAGATCACGGGCTTGGTAAGCCCGAGGATGCCGCATATGGAATGAGTAACGAATCGTGCTGGTTGCAGCATTTGGATAAAGTGGGGTTATGGTACGGGTTTGGGTAAGGCAGCAAATATGGTCTTGAACAGCGAAATATCCAACAGTTACTTCAAGAAATGTTGTACATTGTCACTGTTTGTGAGTTTTTACTCATAGTTTACTCTATCCACATCACGTAAGTTGTTCAGTGCATTTGCGAGGAACATTATGCACATAATAATACAGCATTCAAAAACCTTATTCCTTGGAGAAAAAAAAACCTGAAAATGGAGGCGCGAATTCGTTAATATTTGGCCTTTTATTGAAACGAACAGCAGAAGTAAAATCAGCGCATCTATATGTATGTTCTGGTTTTTTTTTCTCCGAGGAATAAGGCCATTGTGTCTAATATATAAGGCTTCTGTAGTATCTATACGCAAACAGTTTCAATCACCAGGCATGGCGCATCACGTATCAGGCATCACTCATACATGTAAACGATACATATATGCATGCAGACGAATTCAAGTAAACAGTACACACGCGCCACGCATCAATTATACATGCGAGCGATTTCATTTAACACGTGCCAGGGTGGCCGGCTGGATACTTTTCGCTCGAGCGGGGGGTTAATTTGAGTTCCCTGAGGTCTTAGAAACTAAGAGAGCTAGAGACACGAAAGTTACGGAGTATGTTGACCTGTACGTGAAATCATTTAGGTCAAAGTTTCAGGCTCCTAGGTCATGACAATCGTGTCAAATAGGTCACACAAGGTCAAGTTCCAGCTTGGTTTTCAAAGTGCTTCAGAACCTGGATAACTGTTTCTAAGCAAAACGTCACATTATCATTTCAGTTCAGTGATCTTGTTTGACCTTTTGAAGGTCATGGTGACCAAATCATACAAGACTGCTCTGAGTTGTGCAGTGGAATACGCGGTAAAGTATATGTGTGTTCCTTAAAGCAAAATGCTGACCTGGGTCATTTTAGGTCAATGACCTATTCTGACCTGTAAGAAGTCTACGAAAGATGTAAAATGCGGTTCCTGCTATCAATAAAAGCGACATGAGTGCCAGAAACTATCCCTTACAGCAAACCCTAGAGTGATAAAACAGGTTGGTTTTAACCTTGTTCTGACCTTTGCACCCAACCTTAGGTCAACGTAATTTGCTCATTCAATTGTTGTGCTGCCTAAGAAAGCATCTCAGAGATGTATGACCTCGTCTAACACTCTGTTGTTACATCAGACTGACGATTCCCTAAAAATTGTCTTCGCTGAATCCATGGCCCGTCTTTGACCTGCCATAGGTCAGCGACCTTACAAGGTACATTTATATTCTATACACCGAACGATCTGCTATTCAATTGTCTACAGCTACGCAAAATGTGGTGTGCCTACGTCGTGCCGTTCGGACACCATTCTGGAAAAACCTCCGTGGGCGCCAAGTTGACCCCCACCCGAGCGCCCTGTTAAACAGGCATCGTGCATTTTTAAACTAGCAGGCATCACACATCAAGACGCTCATTATATCCGCATAATCGGCCATGATGAGCCTATATGTTAAGGCCTGGTCGCCGACTTTTTCAGAATGAATTCACGTATTTTCCTGCCTGGATGGCCCTGTGCTTTGTAAGTGACTTCGAGTTCTAAAAGAGGTAATGGTTTCATATTTCTCTGGACGTAGGCGTAGAAACGTTTCAAAAAGTGTGTGTGGGGGGGGGGGCAAGCTCAGGGTGTACTCAGGAACTTTTTCTGGAAAGCAAGCCCGATGACTGGAGCTGTTTCTTTCTGGCTGTTTTTGTTTCGCTGTTTCTATTTATCGCTGGTGCACAGTCTTGCCCATTCGACGTATCTATTTCATTCGGCAAATAAGGCTTCCCAGTTCCCCAAGGTTATTCGTTCATTTTAACATTGCCGTTTCTGGGAGGAGAAATTCCACTAGCGGGTAAGCATTTTGGGCCATTAAGTAGGCATCTGCCTCCACAGGGTAGGTGCCAAAATACGGTGTAGACATAGGCTGGTGAGAATTTCAAAAGTGAATCGATGCCTCACAGTTACAGATTTTTCACGCGCCTTTATTTCGCTGACTTCTTTTCAAAAGATAAGACTGGTCGCAGTATTCTAGGCAGAAACAAGGTCGGAAGCTTAAAATTGCCAAAACCAATGTGATAAAAACCGTGAAACTGGAGATTGTCTTTTAAGAACCAAGCCACATAATAAAGGCTCGTCTGTCATATGTTTCTTATCTGGACCCTGCTCCCTTCCGCCGTCGGTGGTCACTGCCCCGGCCCGGCTGTCTCCCGATGACTGACTGTGAACTGATCGCATGGTTTCTTTGTTGCATATTTCTGGATCAGCATTACTACCAATTGGTATGTGAAACATTTGTTGGACACCTGTGACAGTATCTTTTTCCGAATTATCTTTCCTCACACCACACCACAGCAGAAAAATAGCCTCCGGGAAGCTGCCTGCCTTAGGTATGTATCGGCCCGATGAACATTTGATTGCCCATCATTCAACGAAGGTGACTTTGTAAACCGATATAATTCAGACGACTTTTCAGAATCTTTATCTGGGTTCTACAGACATTAAGGACACCGCGAAGGTAAATTAGATCGATATGTCTGATCAAAATTTGAAAGTAAACATTTGACTGCAGTTCGAGTGGTCAACAGTGGGTATTAACATGGCCAAGCCGTTCTTGTCTGAGATGTTCACTATTCAGTCAGAATCGATTAGTGCTTCAATTTATGTCACGTGCTTTTTAACATGCCCGCCCTCAAATCTTAACAACAAAAGCCTCCACACCAGGCGTTGCAGTTTACATAGTCCACGGAGCGTTAGCCTAGCGGCTAACTTGTAGCTTTGGCCCACCGGTGGACGAAAATGATGACACTTCTGATATAATTAGCTTTTAACACATTAACCGGTTAGTAATATAAGCTATTTGACATAATTTTGGGCATGCGCGCCCAAAAATTTTAGAAACAAAAACCTCGACCCCGGGCTTTGCAGTCTACGTAGGCCGCTCAGCGTCGGCCCAGGAGCTAATACTGAGCCATGGCCAACGTGTGGACGAAAATGATGACGCTTCAGAGAGCAGTATCTTTGAATGCTTCATGACATCAAATCTTGCACTCAGAAGGCAGTCTGGGCTCATCTTTCACGTATGTGATCTTTAGATTGATCATATGAACGGATTGGCCTTTAAAGCACCGCGCACTGCGGCTGGTATCTGATGTTTGAATTGGAAGTGTAAAGGTAGAATCTCTAGGTTTCGTGTTTTTTGTTGTTGTAATTATTCATCTACCCGGGAGACAGATTAACACGGCGCCCGCTTGGCGACACGTGCAGTGGCCGAAGCTGTTCAGTTTTGCGGAAGCTGCAGCCCAGGTCATCGAAGTCCTTACCTCGAGACTGCGGGCAGGCATGTTCAAACATTTTGATGTTATTTGTTTTACTAATCCACTATAAAAATGGACGTTTTCAGGCAAACATGGGATGGCCTTGTTTAGCTTTTTTTCGCTCAACAATAATGAGACCCCTTATTTCCTTCGGAGCAAGGGGCTCCTAATGTAGAACACCATGCATACATTGCCGTTTCCGGTCAAGGGCTGAAGGTCCACTCCGCCCCATCGCAAAGTGTTTTCTGGCTGTCGTTCTGGCAACAGGGAACAGGATCTCCTGGTCCATCCGGAGGCCGGAAGAAGGAAATATTATACCACATTGTTCAGAAGACCTGCCTGACATGGGAGGTCTTCTGACCCGCTCAGTTGGCCCTGGATCAGCACAGAAGCCCTCACTAACGCGACAACATCCCTGATCGCCGCAGGTAGTTTAATAATTATCACATAGACTCCGGTTTCACGTTTTTTTGTTTGTTCTTCAGAGGTATTGAGGACTCCCTGAACGTAGATTGTAGATGAAATGGGGGTCCCAAATTTGTATTAGCATAGCTTATCCGTGTTCGCCCTAAAATGTTCAAGATTCAGTCAGAATTGATCACTGATAAGCTATGTAACATGGTTTGAACATGCGCGGCCGCAAGCCATGGTAAGAACAGCCTCGATACTTGGCGTTTGCAGTCTCCATAGGTCGCGCGGCGTCGGCCCTGTGGCTGAACACTACGTGGCGGTCAATGAATAACCGAAAAAGATGACGCATCTTGGAAAAGATAGCTGGTGAACCAGGTAATCAGCATGTACGATTAATGTAGTGTAAAGGAAGCCAAACACAGTCTTAGTCTGAAAAGTTAAGGGGGGCAATTAATACTGCTGCCCCCTCCCCCCTTGAAAAGTGTGGGCATGGTCTCCTGCCCCCTCCCCTCCCCCCCCCCTGTTCCTACGCCTATGTCTCTGGATTTCAGCATGAGTGCGTTTTGTCAAAAAAGGTCACCGAAAGGGCATTCTCTGTCTTGTTTTTAGCTTCTCGCAGGTTTTCAGCATATCTCAAAAGAACAGGGCTCATGTACACGCCGACACAAACTATGCCCTTCCCCCCCCCCCATGTTTTTCGCACAGTCCACACTTAATTTGGTAAACCACGTTTTTTGTGTATAAGCCCCTTGAATCCCAGACTTGCATAACTGGCACGTATTGCCCCAGAGCCCTTCATCTTTAAGCTGGAAGATTTCACCAGTGACTTTTGTAGCTTCTTGTCTTTCTTGCAAGCTATGCGTGTTTGAAAGTTATGCGTGCCTGCGAACTATGCATCTTTTATTCTCTATCCATATGTTTGATTTTCAAAAGCAAGTGCTCATCTATGTAAGATATTGCTGAGAATCCGTCGTCTCGTAGAGTGTGTCCGCGTTTCCTACTTCCCCTCCCCCTCCATATGCCCTGGATTGGCTTACTTCTTCCCGCATAGAAAATCTCTTTTCAACAGCAAAGCCCATATTTTGTGTATTTTCTTTCTTTATTTTCACTCCTTGAGTTATATAGAGCCCTGTGCAGCATGCTGTGAATTATATTGTGCTTAGTGAAAGTTCGATGCGCGTTGAGTGCGAACCAATGCGTGGAAGAATTATACCAGAACTGATGGGTTTGCTAAATAGCTCCGGTTCTGAGGTCGTACGGTTGTTCCTCCTTTCCAAAGTCAATAGCATATCCCAATATTGGACCTCCTTTCTGGCCTTTGTATTCTCTATCGTAAAAGCCAATTGGAATGCGGATTGTACATGAACTCCAAAATACGTTTACGTTGTTTACTGTTCGTGTCACTGTAAAAAAGTTTACACTCACCGCGCTCCCATACGCCAGCATAACCATCGATGCATGTATCCAAGAAATTTTGTTTTTATGGGCTGCCGGCCAGGGCCTCCGTTTCAAATTGGTCAAAATATATTATCGTAAGGGGATGGGTTCTCAATAGTTTTGCCCACTTTCTGTCGATGGTAATCGAAATCACGGTTTACGAAATTAAGTACAAACTTTGTGAAAAGTGGGAGGGCCATGGTAGCTGTCGAGGAGTTCAGGCGCCGTATTCGTCTAAGATATAATGAGCACCTGCAAGACGCTCAAAAGAAAACAGAAAGCTCCCGCCGATCATCATTTACTTTTTAGACACGTACTCGGGCAGAAATCCGGGAGGTACAGACACTTCACCCTTTTAGAGCTTCAAGTCATCCACAGAGCGCAGAACCATCCAGGCAGGATGGCAAGTAAACTTCTTATAAGAAGTCGTCGGCCAGACCTTAACGCACAGGGCCCATCATGCCCGATTATGTGAATGCAATTAGTGTCTTAAACTATAGGGACCTGGCTAAAGCGCGAGGTCCCACGGCCATGTGGAGAGCAGCAAAGATCAGTTTGCATGATTTCAGAACTAATGCAAGTCCCCGGTAGGTTAACCCTTGCCCTGATTCACCGTTATTCGCTACGAGGACTGATGTGCGGGAGTCGATGTGGTCACATGCCGTTTCCAAGCTGAGGAAGAAAGAGCTTCGCGAAAAAAAACGACAGTGATTTGGTCTCAACGGCATCTTGCGACAGGTAATCAGCTATTTGTTGCTGGGGGTCGGTGAGTGGTCCCATAAGGACAAACAGCATTTATTGACTTGATTACAGGTGGTCAGTCAGATAAGACAGTCAATAATTGACCCCGAAAGGTCACATTTGCTGGAAAAACAAAGTTTTCAGCTTTTCACACGCATATGTACCAGACAATGACCCGTAGCGGCATGAGACTTATGTCACATTCAAAGGCACTGTAGCAGGTTTTAGATGTGATGAAATATCCTCACTTGCTACTATTGGTATTCTTTAAAGTGGAAAAACGGCTTTAAACAGCGCAATCTTTACTTGAGTAAATATGCTCCTCAACGCGTCTTTTTTTCATTGTGCCATTGTGTCTTGTACAGCACTGATTGAGAGGCAACTGACGGTCGTTATGTCTGGAAATCGTGCTCTTGAACGCCAGATATGAACAACTCGTCAATGATATTTTTCTTGGCGTAGATCACCACATGCCCAATGGAATGACAGCATTTGAATGGCGTTATCATGGCGGCATGGATGCCTGGCTGACCTTGAAATAGCCGGCGCGAAAAAGTCTGCACATTTTCGCGGGTGTATAGCCCAAAAAAGGAAGCTTATGCTTTAAGAATGGCAGGGCTGTTAACTGCACCGAATGATCTCCAAAACGACGAGTTAATTCAAACACGATACAAATGTGGCGTACCTCCTTTACACGGGCATATTCCTGGCTTGATTATGTGCCTGATACGTATGATATGATTCTGATATGTAGTGTTGTGTGAATCGAGTAGACATTTATGACATATGACAATATAACAGTGTCAGTTAATATAACGGTGTCAGTTAATATAACAGTGTCAGTTAATATAACGGTGTCAGTTAATATAACAGTGTCAGTTAATATAACAGTGTCAGTTAATATAACAGTGTCAGTTAATATAACGGTGTCAGTTAATATAACGGTGTCAGTCCGCCGTGTGCGGTCAGCGGCATCGTCCGTCGCTGCCCGCCGCTAGTGCCCGTTATAGATCGCCGTGCAGTCCTCCAAATTAACCGTCGCTTCTCCGAAACCAGAAAGGCCAGCAACACATTTTGTTGTGTCCAAATACGTGCAATGGACGTCTTAGAGGCTGCTGGAAATTGTGGCGCAATTGCATGACATTCCGGATAGGTATTCTCAGAAAACCTAAGGGGTCCTCATACCCCCTAAGTATCAGGGCCAGGAGCCTAACCGCGTAAGATTTATGGCAGCAGCATCTAGTTTTCGGAGAAAATAGGATAAGAACCATGTGATCCCTTGAGCTAAAGAATATGACATACAGGGCCTACAATAACAGCAGCATGGGGCCACCGAAAAGTGGGGAAAACCGAGGTCCAATGCGAAGTGTTTTTAAGCGATGGAGAGTGCCCTTGTAAGTTAACAAGAAGCCCCTCCCCGAAAATAGCATGGGGCCCCCCGCAGATGGAAGTAAATAGGGAAGAGCACGATACCAATGTAAATGGGTCACTGAACATCGAAAGAGCCTCTGTACCGTAGGCTTCTTTACATATAGGGTTCCCGTAACAGCGCAAGGCCTTCTGAGTCAATGTACAAAAGCCAACACCAATGTGAAGGGCCCCAGAAATTTCGGAACTGTTCCCGGCACGCTAACATATGAAGCTCCTGCCAGCAGCACAAGGCAGTCTTAGCATCTTAGCAAATGAAAAAGACAGACTTTAAAGTTTTTCCTCACCTCATCTCATTTGGGGATGCTTCGTTCAAATCTATTGCTCTCTGCTGCCCGGTGCAATTTTGTAAATCGTTCTTTTTGTAAATTAAATGCAATTTTTTGTTGTAATTTTTTAAATGTAGATGTAAAATGTAATTTTGTAAATGTAAATAAAAAAGCGCGATGATGCGTTCAGTGTTTTACGCAGCATTGGACTTCTGGTCTGATGATAGCGAGACCAGTCCAATACGTGATGATCCGAACCCTCACTTGCATGATCGCGCAGGGAAGGTGGACAAGGTATGGCTAGATTTCGAATTGTGAAAATGTGAGCTCTGAAGTGTGACATTCCCAATTTCCCTTATATTCAGGATGTTACCAATTCTGGCTCCAAAGCTGTGATGCGTTGGAGAAGCAGCCACACCGCACCGCTGGTACATTTCGCGTTTGAAGGGGCGAAGACCGATGTCACCTCAAACGGGCCTTGGCTTCATCTTCTCGTGCCTGGTGGCACATCGGAGTCTTGGTATGCTGTGTTTATGTTCGGTGACAATGCGAGTGTCCTTGCATTGCGTGGCGGACGCCTTATTGCGAGCGCCCGTGTGTCAGGTTGAAGTGCAGTAACGTTTGCTGGCAACTGATGTTGGTTGTTGATGAGTGTGCGCAAGCGTCAGTTTGTGTAAGTGACTTGGTCGTCATCCACCATAAATCGCTTCAGTGCGCGAGTGTGAGTGTTCAATAGATTGCGCCGGTAACTGGTTTGGCTGCTCTATGCTGCATTCTTTCAAGTCTAATGGAGACACTGGATGTCAGAAGTCCATTACAAACTACATTACAATTGTTAAACAAAGGAAAAATGTACACTGTGCATATGCCGCTGGGAATATGTCGAGGCAGAAGTCATGATAGTGGGTAGAGAGGCCCAATGACTACAAGGAGAGAGAACACACCGACTACCATTGAAATTAGCACCAATGCATCACATTTCATTACACATTTGTTCCAGAGGCTTCACTGCACCGGCCTCCCCAACATTCCCTTTCCCCCGCCTCCACTGCCACCGACACCGCATCGCTTACTTGTTGGCCGGCGAGCGGGGGCACACAGTGAAGCTTGGGAACTGCATGTGCTCCTCCTTCCTGATGTTGGAGACCGTCTCCTGGCGGTACAGGTCCCACTGCTGCTGGGCCAGGAAAAGCCACAGCGCCAGCAGCACGGCACGGAGAAGCACGCGGCTCACGCGCGTCGTCGCCAGCAGCCTCGCGTGTGCCATGCTGGGGCGAGGAGGCGGCGCGGCTACAGCGCCGCCCGGTGCGCCGGTTTGGCCGCCGCTCGTAGCGTGACACACGCCACGACCTGAATCTGGGCGGTCGCAACTGTTAGTCTTGTAGTCTTTGTCATCTTTTTTCGGGATTTTCACTGAGCAGTATTAGTCGGAATGTTCTTGTTTTTTCAGCTCGAAAAAGATGAGAAATGTGAGCTTGAAAGTACCAGACATGGTAATAATGCCGAGCTCGGATGACGAATAAACGTCCTGCTTTCGGTGAATCTGCGAGGCGCTGTATTCCTAATGTGGCTACATATCACGTCAGCACTCGTTTCTGCACGCTGCCCCGCAAATGATAGGGCAGACTGGTCGTGTACGTCCTGGTGTGGAGCTCTGTATCTATTAAAAGGACCGTAAGCCTTCAATGCGCATCGTCCCCGCAGTATATCATCATAATCACCAGAGCCTGTCCAACACGTCCAGCGCTGCACCCAAATGTGAACCAGGTCTACCCTGTTCGCAATGGCCGTCATCGGACTTCTATGCTACAAGTACGAGGGTCTCAAAAGAAGTGTCTTTTAAATGAAGGTGTCCTAGAAACAAAGCATGCTGTCTTATCTATCTTATCTTCGAAAAGAAGACTGAATTCCTCGCCGTGCCCTTGCACTGTCGGAGCTTGTTTCATTATCACACTCGTAGGGGCCTTAGAGGCCTCCCATACGACCTTGAAACCAACGCAAGCTAGAGTCAGTGAGCCAAACCAGAAATGGAAAGCCCTCGCCAAATCGCATCAGATAGGTATGTCAAAACAATGAAAATTTTGGCCTTTTGCAGGTCAGGCCGGGCTGTAGTTGCGAATGTAGCACTTAACAAATCCCTGCTTTTATCCCTAGAACCAAGCATGCCACGGCAATATGGAAGACGGCATTGAATACCTCTTGGTAAACTACATCACACTGGAAATTATTGGACGTCAACAGATAAGACCTGTGGTGAGTCATCCCAGGTCAATGGGGTAAAAGCGGTTGTTGCGTTGGTCCATCTTTCTATACCAAGAACTAAACAGGCCATACCAATGGGGAAAACAGTATTAGAACGGCCTTCCAAAGCTGTAAAATGACTGAGGCACACTCATAAGGGTGTTAGCAGTAAGATAGGTGGTACAAGTGATAAATTAAAAGTTAAATGCTAAGGTTAAAGTTACATGGCCTTCATAAATTCAAATCTGCCCTCAAAGTCAGTGTTTGACCTAGCTTGACTTTCGATGACAACCTTTCAGATGCTACAAGACCTATAGCATCGCACTATATATACATATATATATATATATATATATATATATATATGTACGTATATTAAAATAGAGCAGGAAAGTCACTAGAAAACCCCTTTTTTAAAGTGCATTACCTGCGAGAAATAAGCGTTATGCGTCACTTATGAGCAGAATGTCTCCGACATGCCATTGGCAAAAAGGTTGAGGATCTTAAACCAACAAGGTCACATGCTTTAAATATTTACAATATGTTAAAAGTAGGATGTTTATTTGCCTACAGAACATTTTATTGCCATGCTCAAACCGTTCAGAAGTGATTTGGGAAAACTTTATGAGGGCTTCCGAGGTCCCTCGAGTGGTGAAGGCTTGTTCACGTATTCATTCGTTTTTGGACTTAACCAGGGCCCAATTTTTGACACGAGACAGATACTTAAAAGTTAGAAAAACACTTAAGGAGGCTCCGTGGTTTTATGGGAACCAATCTGAATGTGTTACAATGTAGACTGATCCTTGTGTCTGTATTTGAATTTTAATTATGGAATGATCGACAATAGAGATATGATGCATTATGAGGCACCCAGTATTTTTCAAACTTACCCGACCCTCAGGATGCGTAACGTGGCAGGCCACTGGAACGCATCAGATACTTTCCACCAGCTAAAGGAACAGGTGTTGGCATATCAGATTCCTCTAAATTGGTCAAATTTCCGAAATAGTTTAGGGTAACAGTTGTTTGGAGACAAATGTGTAGGTTTTTTTAAAAAAAACTACCATTCCCTACCTTTGAAACCAGCAATTCATTGCTACCCGACTCAACAGGGCACCTGCCATCTAATTGCGTTTTTTTTATTTTAAATTTTGTGCTCTGATGTTCTGAACTGAAGAAGCAAGTCATATCATGGTCTTGGTTGGCTTCAACCTTTCACTATACCCTTCACAGGTCGTGAGCTAGGATCCGTTACGAAGACTGAAACATGCCTGGATTGACAGCGGTTGTCACGGACCAAACGAACGTCATTAAATAAAATGAGCGACTTCATTCACATCATGAACGAATCTTGTAATGAGCCTAGCTGAGCTTTAAGCATGCACACAGCAATTTGCCAACGAAATCATCAGATATGGATGTGCAAACTGGACGGAGCGCGCAAACACGGCGGTTGTGTCGCTTTAATAAACTAGATTGCAAAGAGACTGCGCCACCAGACCGGTTTGAGACGTCAGGCCGCTGTTACCTGAGCGCCAAAGTCAGGCCTAATCAGGCCTGTTCAGGCCCTTCAGGTCTCGGAACCACCTGATCCGCGGCTGTCGAGGCAGGTTGATCACAAGAGGAATACAACAGGAAACATTGGCCCTACCTCTGCTGCGCCGCCGTCGCCAGGGCCCGACTAACAAACCCCGAGGCCCAGTATCACCCATAACTGAAGAGGCATGGGCGCAAAGCTCTGGTATCAGTGGCGCGCCCAGGAGTGGTCAGGAGGGCGTCGAGCTCCGCTGGTGATGACGGACGCTACGATCGATCCGCGAGCAGCTAGCCGCCTCTTCAATCCAAACATGCCAACAGATCTGCAAACAGCGTTATGTCCCCTGTCCCTCCTTCGCTGAGTGCCTGGGCGCGCTGCTGCGCGCGGTCCACCCGGCAGCGGCTCGCATCGTTCCGCCGCGGTCGCCGGGTGCGTCGATGCCATTGTTTCCGCCTGTTTGCCGTCGGCCAGGTCAAACAGGGTGCGCAGCGGCCTGGGAAGCGCCCCTTGGCAACGCACACATGGTGCTGATGGATGGTAAGGCGCTCTGTAGCCTCCCGAATAGCCTTCATGAGACCCGTGTTTGCCCTTAGGTCAAGACAAACTCGGGCGTTCCTAAGCGTTTTGATGACATGTCCACACAATGCTGCAGAGTGCGGAACTTGAGCAGGGTCAATTATGCCATGAGTAGGCATGGACAAAGGGCGCTTGACTCGAGCTTATATGTCTTCTGTAATGTTTGCATCAGCGCCGACTATGCCACCACCTTCATTAGCTTGAAAGGCTACCCCGTAAGGGCCTGAAGTGCCACGCCAGAGGAGCGCAATCAATTGCCTCAGCGAAGATCTAAAGGAATATGGCCATGTTGCCGTTATTGCCGAGCGCCGGAAAACAACACTTATGTGTGCATAGTTGCATGCGGATTTTAAGGTCAACATAACGGAGAGACACCCTTAAGGCTTCACAAGCATAAGATCTAATGAGCATAGCATCGAAAGAAGTAAATGTACAGGATGATGGCTTGTTAAGCGCTCCACAAAATTAGGTAATTAGCTTGCGATATACTTGCTGGTAACCATGTTTTCCAACCAACGCTTTTTGTAGTGAGTGGACATGGAGTGTAAAACAGGCGGTGTTATATTATTGTTGGTGCTTAACATGACATTAAACAACTCAGTTAATTTGGCGACGAGATCTCTCACGTCGTTTTCCGCGAGACGACGAAACTATTTTCCGAGATCCAGGTTCAAACCCCACGACTTACAGTAGGAAGGTGTGCCCTCTCAACTGACCTACATCGTTCCCTTAATGGCAGACGAAATGGTTATCGCCATTTAACAAATATATTGACTTAATCGGGGGGATCCACCCGACTTTGGGGACCCAAACGGACAGGATATGACAATGAATGGGAACATTTTCCTCTCACGCGTCTAGCAGGCATAGATAAACTAATGTTAGCGCCGGCGAGCAGAGTGACACAAAATGGCACACGAATAACATTGCTGGATTATTAGTTGCGCAGCTGTCTATTACCCTACGTTTTTGGTGACGATGTCGGAAACACTTGGAAAGACGTTAAATGTCGGGTGAACATTGGTAGCCATACACTGGTCACTGCATCTGCGCGGTCGCCGTGATATGAGTTGTCTCGTGTTGTGAATGTGCTGCGTGTGAGGCCGGTTTTGGGAAAGGCGACATTGGTTGCGTCCTGTTCCATCACTGCTACACCCATGTATAGCTGTGCTATAGCTATGGGTCAATGCTGTTCAGATGTCTTATGATTCGTGGATGGTAAGCTTGCGCACAGTTTGCGTAGGTTTGCGTTTGCGTTTCTGAGTTTTCACCTGCTCTGCGTTTTCGAAATCTGGCACCAATAGTTATTCGTTAATCGTTAATTATTCATTGTTAATCGTTAACAACGTCCGAAACCGGGTACATCAATGGCCTCGTGCGGTTGCAAGTCACAGTCTGCACACTTCTAGCCACGCTCTTTACGGCATGACTGCCCCTTTCTCCTCTTCCAGTATAATTTAGTCCCATGTCGCTGCAAGATCTGGTCGGCGATATCTGAGCCCGTTTTCAACCCGTTTTCTTCAGCGTTTCTGTCAGTTGAAAATTTAGCCTTTCTTTCTTGGAGGTGATGAGGAGGCGATCGCATAGAGGAGCAAAACAGTGCCGACGTTGTAGCGCTTCGGGAATGCACCGTTTGATTTAATAGTCTGCACCGGTGCCTCCAAAGTGTTACAGCATAGCTTACAAAGAATGTTGTCATGCGTTGAGGAAAGAGTCTTAATAGCACGGTTGGTGGTCATATACTTGTACCACTCTTGATCGGCATACCTTCAGGTGAGCCCGTCGATCCCGTCGCAGGCCACGTCGGAGAAGGCAACCGAACCTGCACAATTTCTGGGTAGGGGACGTTAAAATTCGCTCGGCCTGCGGCATCACGCTCAACAAAAAGCAAAATGTGGAGTTAGCCGTTGAACAAGGATAGCTGAAAGGCGTGTAGTACCAGTTTGGTCAGTCAATGTGATGTGTAGCACTAAATATGATGCAGCAAGTATTGAAATGCGGCTTGACGGCTGACAAAGCATCTGACTATCTTCTGTTTGATGTAATGGCCCAACGAGCATATACCGCATCCTTTAACTGATAGAATCGCCGGTATGGATTGCACAGTGACCATTTGCTTGATTTTTATTGGACGATGGCTTCAATTTCACATGGCACTGAAGCAATCGCGTAATTGTTTGGGCTCATGGCACCACCGTCCTGGAAAGTCGTGCCAGCAACCTTGACTAAAGTGAGCGTGTCCTGCAGGTACAGTCGGTCAAGGTCATTAAGCGCCAGATCAAGGTCATTCAAGGCTCATTGCCTTGCGCAAGTGAGATATCGGGTGGCGAGGCGGTCGAGACTGACCGATTGGCACCTTCTTCTCCTAGGCTGTGAATCGAGTGAAGTCAGAGGCCAATAATGGTCACCTACAGCAAACGTAACAGTTTCCTGATCGCGAATCAATGTACAAGGATCGTACATTTTAAGATGAGACATTCGCGGGGGGGGGAGGGGGATACTGACGAACGACAACGATCAAATACACAGCATGATGCTGAATAGCTTGCGGCACAAATGCACCAACCGCTACTGTTCGAGATGAAGAAAACATTGCACGACGAAACAAAATCCATAGGTTACGAAGGTGACTGACCCCACAGACAAACGAATACGGTCACGCTGTGCTTCTAGGCAACACGAAATTACGTGCTTCGTCGGAGCAAGGAGCACTTATTTTTCCAGAGGCTCGAAGTGATGGAGAAATGTCTCTTTGAACACCAGAGAGAAACTGACTCGTAAAGAAGAAGCCCTCAGGGTACTCAAATACAACACGCTTGAAGAAAACGTCTTGAAGGAGCGTCCCGGGTGAAACGACATTTTCTGTTGGCGTGTATCGGTTTTTGAAAGCCAAAGCTTTCGGTCCGAGAAGAAAATGTTGAACAGTCGTCGTTCTGAAAACTAAGTTCATGTGTTTGCGCATGCTAAAGATGGTCTTTGGATAGTGCTCATGTTTCAGAATGTCAGTGCCATTATTTGTAAAATCTACGGGGAAAATTTGTGATACGCCATCCGCGAGATACAAGGGCCAGTTTTCTAGCACAGCGAAAACGGACAGTATCATATAAATATTTATGAACAGAAATTTCGAAAAAAGCATCGATACCGCTGTACTCCCGGGCGTTCGATTCTAGATCGAGATTCTCGTGCTTCGCGTGGTGTTCCACAACTGGCGATTGCTGCGTGATGAAATCAAGTGCGTGTCCAGGGAAAGGGGCAGGAAGCCCATGCCCCCTCCCCAAACCTGACCAAAATCTGGCAATGAATTATGTCACTAGGGTCGAGACTTCAAAGAAAGCAGAGTAAATTTCAGTTAGTTTTGGAACACTCATATAAAGCCAATCAATATCCGTTGAGTTACTAAAAATCAGAATTCCATTTGACGTTTTGCTCCCAAGTCAGGCATTGCGCCCCAACGGCGTTTGCACTCGCCCTCAAACGAAATACGCCAGACCTTACATCTACGACGATGTTGTCGCGAACACTTTAGCACTTGCTCCTGTGGCCGGCTGGACACCCTTCGCTCGGGTGGAGGTCAGTTTGACCCCCTGAGATCTCAAGGACTAAGAGAGCTAGAAACACGAAACTTACAGGGTGTCTCAGCCGGTATCTAAATCCACTCGGGTCCAAGTTTGAAGTTCCTATGATGTGAACTTAGCGTCAAATAAGGTTAAACAAGGTCAGTATCCAGGTTGGTCTACAAAGCGCCCCCAGAACCTAGATACCTGCTCTAAGCAAAACGCCTCATGATCATTTAAGGTCAGTGACCTTGTTTGACCTTTCGGAAGTCATGATGACAAAAATCATACGAGACTGCTTGGAGGTTTGCATTTGAATGAGCGACACAGATTATGCTAGGCAGTACGCTCCTGAAAATGTACCGTTGACCTGGCTCATTTTAGGTCAGCGACCTATTTTGACCTTTGAGAAGTGTGTGAAAGGCGCATAATGCGGTTCCTGTTATCAATAACTTAAAAATGAGCACCAGAAACTACCACATACAGCAAGCCCCAGAGTAATGAAACAGATCGGCTTCGACCTTAGTCTGACCTTCAAAACTATTCCTAAGTTAATGGAATTTGGTCATCCATGTGTTGCGTTGCATAAGAAACTACCTCAGAAATGTGCGGGCCTTGTCTACCATACCGCCGTTGCAGAAGATTGAACGGTTCCCTAGAACTTTGACGTGCCGTAGATCAACGACCTTAAATAAAGCATCTATAGCTTTAATACCAAGCGATCATCTATGCCGTTGCCTACAGCTATGCCCAATTTGGCGCGATTGCACTGCGCCGCTCGGAAACTATTATATAAAAACCTTCGGGGGGGGGGGGGTGGGGATCAGTTTGACCCCGCCCAAGCGCGTGTTAATGCAGGGGTGTAGTTTTCTATTGATTGACTTAGCCGACCATCGTACGATGTCGCGCTCGCTTCTCATTGGTGAACTACCACATCATTTCTAGATCCTGCGACCATGAATCACTTCCGGTGTGCATGGTGTATAAGTTG